ATAGACACGAACGAACAATTTCAATTGAGCAAGAACTAAAGAACAGATACATGTAACAGAAAGAGAAAGGAAAATGAACATGCACATCTATAGTTCATAAGGAAGAATATTTCCTTAACAAAAATGACGAATACAGGTGAGAAATGATGTAATTTGTTTGAGAGTTCACAAACTTGAACAAACTATAGTGATGATGATGCAATATTTCAAACAAATCGAATGCTACAAATCATTGACAAATACGAATTCAAGTTTTATTGGTCAAAAAAAAGAGTTGAACGAACCTAGAGCAGAGGAAAGTGAAGAATATAGGTGATGAAATACATAATATATCATAAAATATGTAATCGCATTGGGTTATAGTGACGCCGAAAAAATATATCCATCAAGAATAACAACTATAGAGTCAGAAAATGCAAAAAAAAGTATTTGAAGAGAAATGGATATTGATTATCGGCCTACATGTTTATCTGATTTCAACGAACTGTCATGGCCAACGTTTTCACTTCCAACAAGTCCACTGCCTTCGGACTTTTACAAAAGAATGTTGCCTGATACTTTCTTCAATCTCATTACAGAATATACAAATCTTCGCGCCAAACGATATTTTGCCAATGTCGTCAAAAAAAATGATAAATCTTGGTGTGATGTAAGATAAAATCAATTTCAAAACATAGCTATATGGATTCACATGAGAATGATGCGTAAACAACGTTTACGAGATTATTAGTCGACTGATACTCTTTTGGTAACACCAATATTTCATTCCAAAAATTATCTATCTCGTGACCGATTCTTTCAAATTCTTCGATGAGAAATAATAAGAATCTCAATAAACTATAGAGTTATTTTTGTATTAGATTTTTGAGATTTGCAGACTATGAAAAAATGATTGAAAACGATCGACTAAAAAAAATACGACCACTTACAACATTTGTTCGAGATCTCTGCATGTCGATGTATATTCCAAGAAGAAATGTTGTCGTCGATGAAACACTACTCCTGTACTTTTTATTTTGACAAGTGAACAGAAATTTTTAGTTTTAGGATAATTATATATTTTGTTAATGTATAATAAATGTTAATACAATTTGTTTTTTTTAATTTTTTTATAAACTAATTTTATTGTTTTTAAGAAAAGAGAAAGATAATAAGAAAAAAGGAGAAAAATAAATAATTAAATAGAGTATGAGTATAACGCGAGGCCTTTCGAATTAATTCTTTTTCAAGCGATTTATTCAAAAAGTATCATTACAAAGGAAAGTTTAATTGAATCTTGCAGGAACAACGATTTTAGTTTTCATTAAAGAATCTTTTCATAATGTATTTTAATGTGTTTTAACGCATTTTAATGCAATTTTATGTATTTTTATGCATTTTTATGAAATTTAGTGTGTTGCTGATAATAGATTTTGTTTTAGATACATTATTACGAAATTGTTTAAGTGGTAAGAGATAATTTTTACAAATAAAGGAGTTAGAGGGGAGGAAGCGATTTTTCAAATAATGGAAGTAAGGAGAGACGATTTTACAAGTAATAGAAGTAGAGTGAAAGACTCATTAATACAATAGAGAGAGAAAGCTGTTACAATATATAAAAGAAAGGGTTTAAGAATATATAGAAGAAAGGTTTTTCAATTACAGAAAAAGCAAGATATATGTACAGAAAAAAAGAAGAAGATATATGTGCTTTACAATCAATTGGGGTAGGTTGAAATAAAAATAAAGATTAGAATATGTGCAGATTAGCATTCTTATCAATAATATTTGTTGTGATCTTTTTTTCTATTTTGATCCTGATGATATTTTTTATTCTTTATTCTGGTTCTGATGATGCTGGTAGTAGTCTTATCGTTTCTTTGCTTGGCTTCTTTTGCACTAGTATATGTTTTAGGCTATGGGTGAGTCGATTCGCATATATGACAGGAATGTCATCTAATGGCGTGCCTTCAAATATCTCCTGCCGTATCTGATGGAAGTGTGATCCGAAGTTTACTAATGACGGTGCATATGTAAAATGCAAGAGGATATCTGTGCCAAAATTTATTTTTATTTTTTCTTTTTTTGTTCAATGCTGTATCTAACACTAGTTCTCTGAATTTCGAATGATCTTTACTTAAGAGTATCTATGATGTTCCTTCCCGTGTTAGGTCGTAGAAAAAACGTCCTATGTGCTTATCTATGAATTTGGGTGGGTATTTGTTCAAAAGTAATGTTATCCTAATCGTTTCTAATTCACATTGTAAATCTTCAGGGTGTGACGGGTAGTACATGTGGTTGGGCTGCTAATTTTCTGAAAACTGTTGTTCTAAGGTTGGGGATCTCCGTAGTAGCTTTAACATCAAAATATTATATTGTTTTTTCACTTGCTCACGTTATGCTTATATTGGGATCCTTTCGATTTAATTCTTGCAAGGTTTTTTCTATTTGTTCTGGGGATTGTTCAGTAGTAAAAAAGATGTCGTCTCGGAATCGAAGATACAGTTCATGTTGTCTGTGTTCTTCACGTACAAAGTCACGTTCCCATTTTCGAATATAGATATCGGCCAATACCTGAGTGCATGCCGATCCCATTGCTCCTCCTCTAATCTGTTGGTAATATTTAGGTTTTAATCCTGGTAATTGTAGGGAAAAGTATGAGTTCTCTCGTACGTCGAAAAGTAAATCTTTTATTATATTAATTGATAGTCCACAGATCTTTTTGTACCCATATCGTCCTAGAAATTCGCATACTGCTAATACTGATTCTCTTTGTGGAATCATATTATATAGATCGGCAATGTCGAATGTGTACATATTTGGGTGTGTGTGTGGTTGTTATGTCAGGGTCTCACTGAAACGAATACCCACACCCCAACCTTTTTATATTTTGATTTAATTTGATTTTTTTGTATTTTCGTTCCTGACCTATTCTTTTTAACTAAATAGAATCAAAATTATCTATCTCATGTTTTATTTGATTTATTAATGGCTCATGAAAGTCAAAAAAATAGGTTAGTATAATGCACCGAAAGAGGACACGAGAGTTTCACACTTCAATTTCAGAAGAGTTGCTTTAACAAGCTTTTTTCTCTTTTTTTTGATAATTTTAAGATATATAAAAAATTCACGCGTCATTAGAAAATATTTAGCATATTGAAGAAATATTCTCAAAATGCTACCTAGAAAATCATCGAGCATCATTTATGATACAGATATTAATTTCTAAACAAAACCAGCTGTTCTCGAAGAATTATCTATGCTTGTTTTAAAATTTTTTTTTAATTTTCAAATCATCAATCTTTGTTTTCTAGAACGTCTGATTTTTCAACTGCTAGTATAACTAGTGATCTTTCTGTACTTAGTCGAGACGATGTTCAAACATTGGAGGTACCATTTTCGCTTCCAATACTTGATTTCGCATATTGTATTGACAATGCTTTACCATCATTATTACCTGGTCATATGACACATATATCCGAAATCATTCACCAAGCATTCGGAGTTGATATAGAACTACATTAACTGATTGATAAACTATGTGCAATGAAACAAAAAACAATCGATGGTAGTTACATGTTCAAACATAACAAAAATTTAAAAGAAGAACTATTAAAATATTCGTCAAATGCGTCAAATCTTTTGAAACTACTAAAATCAACACCTTTCTGTTTATCACAGTTTTCTGAAAATTTATTTTAGGATTATATTTTCCTATTAGATGTGATACTAAATTTGATAGTCGAATCGCAAATTTATAAAACGTTCGTCTATACTTAGCAAATAATACCGCTACAAATGCAACAATAGTTAGTTATTCTTGCAAGTCTTATTCATGCTTTCTTGAACTGTATCCAAATTTCATCACATATTTCTCAAATGACAAAACACCTTACTGTTTGAAAACGGCTAAGTAATTTTCATACGGAAACAATATAAATCTCGGCAGTCAAACTGCTTTTGAACGAACAATATTTAAGAAATATTTAGCTTTATTTATGTAGGTCAATTTTATTATTTAGGTTGGAAATAAAAAAATATGTTTTTGTTCAATTCTTGATGCTTTTGAGAAATACTGAAACAAAACTCTAGGGTGGATATCAATGTGGTTCTTCTTCAAACACAACACATTCAAACCCACGCCTAAATAAAATATCCATGAAAAAAGAATAAAGTATACTTTTTGGATTCAAATATCAAAGCTTGTGATTCTTTTAATCTCATAATATCGTTAAACAGTGTGTCGGATGAACGAATGATGACTAAAAGCAACTTTAGAGTGATGAAAGTAAGTTCATATTGGACAATGGAAGTAAGTTAAAGCAGTATTGCAAGCTAATAAAGTGGATACAGTGAAGCATCAGTGTCAGTAGATAAACGCAAATGTAAGAGAATGAGTAAAGCTACAGACGAAAGCGTACATCCAATTGATAACACAATTCACCATGTTCGAGTCAAGGGGACAATCTTCATTTGATTATAAATATGAAATACAGTAGAGGAAGATCTATCAGTATTTGTAGTTCTATCCAGTCTTCCTATATCATCGGAACATCACATCAGCGGTTCACTTGCTGTTTTCCACATTGCTGGTTATCATTTGATCCTCTACTTCTCTTTGTGACGTCATTTGATTTGAAAAAATCATTCCTGTAGTTATTGGTTGCGTTTTTAAATGAAGTTCAGTTTTTGATAAATTTAGCCTCAGGGGCTTTCTCAATAACCACTGGAAAATGAAACTCTTTCCGACTGTCGTCTTTTGAAACTCTTGTTTGTATGTTGTGGATAGTAGCACATACAGCATGAAACCCAATATCTGTGGAAGATATGTGAAGAAGTACGTTGTAAGTAACAAGTACCGTTGCCATTTTTGATCAGTGATGGGTGTGCAAGCTAAATTGAAGGAAAGAATTATTTGTGGTAAAGAACTCAAGACAATGATCAATGGTGTTAGATACGATTCTTTTTGTGTTTTCAATTGCCTCTTGAATGTTTCTCGAAATGTTGTTTGATTTATTTGTCCACGAACACGACTTTTAGCTGTGAGAATAATCAAGACAGTAATCGTGATTGTCTGGATGCAAAATGGAACTAAATAATGAATTAAAACATTAGCACGATCGTAGATTGACACTGTCGGGTGGGCATAATTAACAACACAGAGTGACTGATCAATAACAGTATAATAGAATAATTCATGAACATGCATACCACTAATAATAATGAACGTCAATGAACTTAATGTTAAAGCTACTTTGGGTGTTTTAAAAGTTGTTAGTGTTGGCCATATAATTATTGCTAGTCGTTCCATAGTGACCAAACTTGTTAACCAATAATTAGCACGAGTAGATACAGACAAGAGATATGAAATGATTTTACATGAATAGTATATGTTATTAAATATCTGCCTGCTACTTAATAGAATATGTGTTACCTTTATGAATAGAAATAACAATGAAAGTTGATTACATATTGTAACAATGAACAAATAATTTCCAACGCCAACTTTTCGTGGTTTTGGACGTTTAAATGTGATGAAACTGCAGAAGTTATTTAAGGTACCAATGATAAATAATACAAAAACAATAAAAACATAAATCAATTGAACATTAAATGTGTCCCTAATGATAAGACTATCTAGCGTAAAACCTAACAATTCATTATTGAATTGACAACGATCACCTGAATAACATCGAGGGCATAGACAGACAAAGTCGTATTTGTTCTGTATGTCTCCTTTCAAACAATGACCACCAGATAGACACAATTGACATTGATCAAGAAAATGATCATAACCAAAACATTCAGCACGATAATTATCTAAATCACAGATACATAAGTAATCATGATCATGAAAGCAGTTTAAATTATCAATAGATCGATTTCGCCATTGTTGACATATTTGATGATATTGAAATAGTGTCAATATTGAATGGTCTATTTTGAAAAACTATGTTTTTGTCAAATGCAAAGAAACTTAAACTTACTGTCAGTATTGGATAATAATGTAAGAGCATAAGGACATTCATTGTTCGCTGATATTGTGGATGTGATATTAATCATCGTCTGGTTTTGTTGTATATACAATATATGATATTGAGCTTGATAAGTGATATCGTATAGTTTAAGTAAAGCAAGAATTGGCGCCACTTGTTGCTCATGATTATATCGAAAAATAATTGGTAATGATCGATAAACTTGTTGATGTCTTATAATTAAATCATATATAATATTATCAATATCATAATACTGAATGACACAAGCAACCAATGTCATTGATGTCGAATTTAATTGAATTTTAATGGATATTTTTTCATATTGACATTGATCACCATAAAATTGTTCCATACATTGACATATATATGGTTGAACACCTGTCGGATCGTATGTCGTGTAACAGGAACCGTTATTCAAACATGGTGTAAAATCACAAACATTTTGTCTTAAATGACACGATGGACCAAAATAATCTAACGGGCATACACATAATGGATACTGGTAGCCAGCTGCTAATTTACCTCGATATTTTGGTTTACATGTCGAATTCAATGAACAATAAATAGAACACTGTTCATCATAGTTTTGACAATTTTCACCATAATAACCATTTTTACATAAACAAAGGTAAGTTTGATTTCCATTGAGAATCGATTGGCAAACAGTATTCTTTGAATGGCATGGATTAGGCAAACACGGATTGTTCATTGTTTGATTTGTCTCTTGTGGTGGTATTGTTAATATTTTGACTAAACGAAATGATGGTAAATAATCAAAATAAATCGGATATTGCCAAAGGCCAACAAGTTTAATACTATAATTCAAATCCAGTTCGTAGGCTTCAAATCTCACCTGATATGGTTGTTGTTTACTTATATTTGTTCTATTTAAATAACGCTGTCGCTTATGTTCGATGAGAACTTGTGATCTTGAATAGAGTAAATAAAATTTATGTTTAATGTAGCTTCCATTTAATTCCAAAGATGGTCGAACGTGAAATTGATAATAATCTAATATTGTATTGTTTTCGAATATGAACAAAACTAAAATTTCAATAACAATTTTTTGGTCATTTTTAGTGTAATTTGTATGTGTCAAATTTAAATGTGTAATAATTGTAAGTCGATCACTATAAAATTGACATTTTGAACCATAATAACTAGGAGGACAGAAGCAAGCAATAGTATCATGTACTATTGATATACCACGATTACAATAGTAGGCTAATTTACCTTCATCTTCATGATCGAAATGAGAGATTATCATGCGGTTATTTTCTTGCATCTCAGGCATCGATGAATATGGGTAATTTTTCAATGCAAATTGTGCTTGCTTTTGTCGTTGTTCGTCTTGTTTTGCGCGACGATAATTAATAATATCGTAAAGTGATTTATCTGCATTGCACCAATATTCATCTTCACCAAGTGGACAGTCGATGTTGCCATCACAACGTGCTCTTCGTTTACATTCCCCGGTTAAACATAAAACATCCGTTTTACCAGCACATGATTGTGATCGTCGATAGAAACACAATGGCTGATCATATTGGTTTGAACAATGCTTTTCACACAGAAATACTGCTAGTATACATTTAGGATTATCATCACTACACAGAAAATCATAACCCATTTGTCTTACTGAATTACATCCGTTGATTAAATTTCTTTCATCTAAACTACCATAACAATCAGATATACCATTACCAATTTGATGCAAACTGATACATGGTCGATAGTGATCCAATAAATCTTTTATTTTTACTATTTTTTCGGTCATATTTGCTAAGAAACACGGATATTCTCTTGTAATGTTGCATACTGTTGAAAATGGTGATCGACTTTGATAATGTTGAAAACATTTTATTTTCAATTTTTCTAAATTTTCTAATTGTTGATTATGTATAGAGAATTCATCAATCATGAATAAACCTTGTTCATCCGATGCATCTGAACAGTCCCATTCGCCTACAACGGAATACATGAATTAGTTGCATATCTATTGCATCATTTAGGCGCAAAATTAATCATCGAAAGTATTCAAATTTTTTAATGAACACAGGTTTTTTTCTTAGAGGTTGGTTTAACCTTTTCGTGATCAACTACTACTTTATACGAAGTTAATTATTATATTATACTTTCACTGTGATGGCAAACCCTTGCCGTGTTTATCGTAGTTTGTGATGAGGCCAAAAACTAGCATGTCTGAAAAACATTTTAGCATCATAGAATATGATAGAGCAGGTCGGGAGTTCATTTTTCTTGCTATTTGCCTCAACACTAATGAATACTCGTATTTCACAATACTACCACACTAGATAAGTATTCTTATTTACCATCACATAACCATTCTTGCGGTATACATTGTCCCGTTAAACATCGATATTGGTTTTTCGAACAAACCCAATATTTTTGACAGAGTAAAAGATTTTCATCATTTTTAGATGATATATCCCAAAAAGTATCACAATAATGATGAAATGGTGTAAGGCGACTGAATGCTGATGATGTTGATTGATATGTTAATGTTGCTGTTAAACTCATTATATCTTTGAACGCTGACTGATTTTTTATCCATGAATATTTGATATATTGTCGTAATAATTGACAACCTTCTCGTTTCGATGTCTGTTGACATTTTATATTCAATAAAGACATCTCATGACCAAATAAAAATTCATCGTATCCATTTAAACAATCAATAACTTGATTACCTAATAGTTCAACAAGTAAACATGTTGGCTGTTGTTCATGAGAACATGTAAAACGATATTTTTGTTGATTGAGACAGCTATTATTTGTTGAATAAAAAGGATTAAAAAGCTCATCTTCCGATTGAACTCCACCGCAATCATCATAACCATCAAGTAAACGATAATCGGATATACAGTATTTAGATGTTCGTTTACATATATCACTGAAATGATATGATTTATTTTGAAATGTTTTGGAGTCTTTTGTCCAACAATATTCATCATAAAATGGCCCAGAGTATACTTTCTCAACATTAGATGAATTACAAAATAAAAAATCAAATTGAGAATGAAAAATAAAATTCTCATTATAATCGAATTCTAACATTTTTCCTCTTGCTTGATAACCGCGACATTTAATATAGCCATTGAATATAATTTTATCTGGATCTTGATTTGTCAACCAATTATGATGATCGATATTATAATAAAATTGCATATACGGCTTAATAACACCACTTTTCAATGGAAATAACAAACTTTTGTTGCTGCACATGAGTTCTTTCATTATTATCGAGCAATTATATTGATCATTATTTTCTGCAACAGCGCTGCCACATGGACATTGTAATTCTTTACCACCAGAAAGAGCACATTTTAATAAATATTGACAATATTCATCACGATCTCCATTCATATCTAAATCGAATTCAATCCAGAATGGGTAACATAAACCGGATGGCGTGGTCCATAAATGTTTTAGTTCGCACAAGAAATTATAGTCACGATAGTTATAGCACTCATTTGATTTCGGTATAAATGTTTGAAAAATAAAACGATTCCAATCAGCTATGCATTGACCATCTCCACAAGACCATTGACGTTTCGAACACAAATGTTCATCACAATCAAAATTGCGGCTGTTAAATATACAATAAGCAGAGTCAAATTTGACTTGTTCATCACTAAAATCCATACAGTCATATTCACCTAAGAAAAAAATTATCATAGGATTGTTACAGAATTCAGACAATTATTCATTCAATTTGAATAATACTGTAGATCAATTTTCAAAACATTATCGATCTTATTTTGAGCATGTGAATCTTTCTCTAGAAATCTAATGGACGATCATTTCACAAGAAAACAAATCTCTTCTAAAGATGACTTAACCCTTCTCATCCTTTATATGGAGCGTGGGTGTGGTGACGACTAACAATTACTCACATCCAATTCCTATTCGAGAACAGTTTTAAAAGTCCAATATTTTCCATACATCTCTTAGTAAATATAGTTCTGAACAGAAGGCCGACAACAACTGGCTTCTATCTGTCTCTCTCTTTCTAAGGAACTCGGGTTTAACATGACGATTAAATCAAAAAATAGAACGAGCCGTATATGTGCAACCTCTTCAGGAGTACTTATCCAAAAGAAGGAATTCAATGAAAACTGAGAGAGTTGTAGTGTCATTTCTCTTCGAACTTCACTTCTTTCTTACCATCAAGAAAATAGTCATCGGGTATACACATGCCATTTGAACAGCGATATTCATCCAGGTCACATTCATTGAATTCTAATTTATCACAGTTTTCCTCATCAGTGCCATCTATGCATTGTTGTTCACCATCACATATGTTGCGCCAATCCAAACAGAGCATACCATAATCACATTCAAATAAATTTTGATAACATAAAATATTTCCATACTGCTGACTATTTTGTACATAATTTCGTTTTAATTCAAATTGTTCAACAACTGTTTGATGAAATGTTGTTTGATGTGATGGTAGTCCGTACTCACAATATTTTCCAAATGTTAGTGGACTAAGAGTACAATTACATAAAAAGGCAGCATCAGTTGATAATAGCTGACGGTTGCGAGTGAATGTATAAGCCGCATAGTGATCAGCTTGTTCAATAGATGAGCTCCATTTCAATATATCATTAGCATCTATTTTAAGTTCGAATAATTGTTGAAACGTATAATATCTACCATTATTATGACACGCTGATTCTGATGAATGGTTAGCACGTTCCAATGTATTTTGATATTCTGGACGACGACAATACTTAATGACAGATCCGTTTTTATAATAGATACAATCATAATACTCGAATGGTGATGGACTATTTTCAGTGTTATAAAGCAAAATATAACTATGAGTTCGACTCGAAGATATAAGAAAAAATACCAGTTGTTGTAGCAAATAGGCCTTCATATTTAGCTTTCGACAACTAAACTATAAACTGAAATATAATCTTTAAACATAGGCAGCAAAAAATATCAGGATGTTTATCTCTATGCCAAACTTTGGAAGGGAGAATAATAAATCAGCAATTGCAATGACTGATATGATGTATATATATTTTGAAAAAATGAAAAATGAAAATTCTGAGTAAATTGACTACTCTAAATGAAACAAATATTCAAGAAATACCAGGATGTATTATGAAATGAGACGGGATCTTAGAGGAGCGATTTAAGATAAATGTTGAAAAAGAACGAGTATAGAACATGAAATAGAACTCGTTGCCATCTGTACCATATAGTCTTGGTAAATGTTTATCCTTTACAAGGTAAGATAATATGAAATCAAGTGAATTACTATTCTGAATGCTTTATACTGTTTTGCTTCAAAGTATTTTACTTTCTCAAAAACGAAGATTTGCTATAGTACTTAGGGTATACCAAAAGTTCTGATCACAGTTTTTAAAATTTAATAAAGCAATAAATATTGAATATTTTACTAAGGCAATATATAGTATAACGTCTCGTATTTAATAATATATAGAGCAACTCTCTCTTAGACTTAGTTCTAACATCCTTTCAGACTAAATCTATAGTATTTATAGCCAAGAAAAGATCATGCCAACATAAAACCACAATACAGAAACGAA